AAGGGCAAGTTGATGATAGACACTGTTTTTGATGCTGGGGAGCTAATAGGAAACTAAATAGAAAATCTCTGCCCTCATGAACTTTCCATCTAGTAGATATTTTTCATGTGAAAGGGAAGTAATCCAAAGGTATCTAAAGGACAGGAGCTAATCTCATAAGCATGTGGCCATGAAGAAAGCCAGGGATGGCCGACCAACACTTCTGTTACTCACAAATAGGTTCTCTACTGAGTTTATATCCCTCAGTTGAGCCATAACCCCTTAATGGAGCTCAATCAGATGAAATCTAAAATAAATCATTCTTTGTTTCCCTCTCGCTTCTCTTTCTCTCTCTCTCTCCCCTCCCTCTCCATTTCAAAACTGAGAGATAGCTTTAAACAATATGGTTTAGAATATTATGAGAAAGTTGTCTCTTGAATCTGCCACAAGCAACATTTGATGGACAAGTGAGAAATGTGGGTAGTTAACATATGATCCAAATTTAATAACCAGTGAAGCAAGTATACACCCAAAGTGTGTGGTTTTAATTAACTGCAAATAATTCCCCCAAGGCAAATGTTTAATTATCTGCACTGCTTATTTCTTTCTGAGACTTACAATAAGTCTAAAAGTCCAAATTTGGAAGCAAAAACTGAGCACAGACACATTTTCCAAACTGTTATCTACTCATGTCAAATTGTTTTAAACCAGCTCCCATTAAAGTTTGCCCTTTTAAGTTTGGAAATAAGATGTGGATTGTGAAAAAAAATTTGAATACTTTTTTCTACATTACCACTGAAAATAATTATTGAAAATAACTATCTGGATTAGGCTAAATTTTAAATTCACAAGTGTTTTAGTTTTACTCATTTATAAAAAATAGTATTATTTGATACTTAAGTCTTATGCAATATTCATTTCTCACAACATTAAGGTTTTAAGAGTATTTGAGGTTTTTGCATGTAGTTAAAATTTGTTCATTTACAATGAACAATTAATTATTCTAATTTTCACAAATACTATGCTTCTATGCCAAAAATAAGAAATATCTTTGAAGAAGTTATTTACATTGAGTTTATAATGTTATGATCTAATGATTCATATAAAATGTGTAAAAACATTTAAAAAATTGATCATGCAATTGTATCTGTTTTGCCACCAAAAATCTGTGTCTTTAAGAAATAAATTGCCTCTTAAATTTTCTTGAGCAGGTGCTTTAACAGTAAAGGCACCTTCTGTATAATCTTATGTTTCTATATAATTCATTTCATGGAATCCAACAAACCATCAATTGTTATTTGCACTATTGATCTGTGTAGTATTAGAAAACATTTTGCCAGATGGCTTATAACGCATTGTAACTTTTTCTAAGATGTGTCCTGTATCTGAATTTCCAGTCTCATAAACTTCAGCAAAGCTTTAAATCATGAGTCCTATTTCATCAAACTTATCAGGTGTAGGTTTGAAATGGCAGTGCAGGTTTTCTGCTTGGGATGGGGGGTGAATCCAGCCACAACTGTATGTGTATGAAATCATTATTCATAATGAGAAAGAAAGAAAATACATCTAGTTGATATGGTCTGAATATTTATGTCTCCTTAAAATTCATATGCTGAAATCCTAACTCCCAAGATGATTAGTGGGTAGGGCTTTTGGAGGATGTTTAGGTCCTGAGAGTGGAGCTCTCATAATTGGGATTAGTGCCTTTATAGAAAGGGCCACAGAGAACTCCTTTCCCCTTTCTACCATGTGAAGACACAGCTAGAAATTATCTTCCATGAATCAGAAAGTGGGCCCTTGCCAGACACTGAAGCTATAGATGCCTTGACCTTGGACTTCACAACCTCCAGAATTGTGATAAATAAATTTTTATCATTTATAGGCTACTTAATTTGTGGTATTTTATAAATTTCACAGTCCAGTCTAAATGGACTATGATACCAGTGTATATGGTCACTAAAAGAGCTTGCAGTTTCTATGTAAACTCTATACCATGAAAAAGGTAGTTGCATATTGGATTTGCATTTTTTTAATTCTAAAAATTATCATTTGGTAATGTTCAAAAAATGTAAAACAGTTATTACCTAATTCTGAGATTCAGTCAATGTTATTTTAATAGCAGAGAAATGGAATTAAATTTATATGCAGATTCTGACTTTCAAAATCTTTAAGGTCGATGTCATATTTAAAGAATTTTTTTACATGCAAATACTAAATCAAATATTCAAGCCAAAGGTCTATAGATAGATGTACTTTTAAGATTAACAAGAATAAAAAAGAAACCCTGTCTTAAATTAAAAAAAACCCCCTCATTTAGAAGGCTTAAAAAGGTTCAAAGAAATATTTAAAATAGATTACAATCAAATGAAAAACCTATAAAACAGAAATTTCAAAAAGTAGGTCACTTTTAATACAGTTAATTACACATAGCTACACAGACTAGTACCTGTATAGATTTAAGCAAATAATCAAACTATTGAATTTTTAATAAAAAATAACCAGACTTTAAATCAAAATAAATGTGATTTCTTTCCAAGACATCCATTTAGAACAAAAGTTTTTTACCCTAGGAGATCCTTAGGGATCTGCAAACATTTGAAAAAAATGTGTATGTATTCATGTATCTATTTTTCTGGAGTGAGAGAGAGCTTCCATCATATTCTCAAAAGGATCCACACCCCACAGAGGTTAAAAATACACATAAAAATGGATGTCTCAATGCTAGCGATGCTGCCATTCTACAAAATGTTTTCTGGACTGTTTTTGAGTTTGACGCATGAATCATCAATGATGGCGAATCTTGAATTCTTAAAGTCGATCTGACTCAAGGAAATAACTGACAAAAATAGGGATGTGTTACATAAGAGATGGACAATACAACCGGCAAAACATTCTGCATCAAAATTACATGTGAATGTAAAGTAGTATAACAGTGAATAGACTATTAATTATTTTTGAAGACAGTTGTAAGCCAGGAGGTCTATCAGATGCATCTAGAAAATGGGGTGGCAACAGGAGGTCACATTGGTGTAAAAGTTCTCATGGGTCTGAACAAAATAAATAATGAACACAAAAATATTTTTCTTTTTGTAAAGAAAATATACATAAAATATTTTTCTTCTGTAAGGTGTAAATCTTGACATATGAGCACCAGATCGTGATGCAAAAGTTGCACCAGATTTGGATTCCAGCTTTTAGAAAAATGAATATGAAGGGCGTCCATATAGGATGTGAAGAGATCAGACTTTCACTTTTGCAGCCTGAATTGTGAGCAGGGTCACAGCCTGGCAGCAGGTCACTAGGAAATCACCTGGGTTTCCTTTGATTCTTATAAACTAATTTGATTATGTCAAGAAAAATATTTATCCTGGCCTGCTCATTAGAATCTCTGGCTTATTTTGTGAAGCAGTTAGGGACAAAGTAATTTCTCCTCCGTCTGAACAGAGTGCTTATCTAAAATAAACCGGAACCTTTGCAGCTGATTAGGACCTCACAGAAACATTGTAGGGGCTGTTTTTTATATAAGAAAAATAGATCCTTTAGCCCCTTCCCAGAGTGTTCAGATGTTGATGATCTGAATTGTGTTTGGTCACAGTGAAGCTAAGTACACAAGACTAAACTATATCTACCTGAAAGATAACTGGGCCCCCGACCGGACCTTGTTCTGGTTGTC